CTCTCCGGTAAGTACCCCGCCCACCCTTTGCTTAGATCTTACTCCACTCCGCACCAGTACCGGCGCTTTTCTGTTTCTGACGGGAGAGCCTTCTTTTCTGCTGCGTTCGCCGTGGCAGAGATCGACATGATGAAGGAGCGCTTCGCGAAGCTGCTGCTGGGCGAGGACATGTCCGGCAGCGGCAAGGGCGTCTGCACCGCGCTCGCCGTCTCCAACGCCATCACCAACCTCTCCGGTACGCGTCTCCCTCGGTCAATCACTTCACCTGCATTCCCGTGATTTCTGCCGCTGAAAATACGTGCTGAATGCCGCGTTTGTTTTGTTTTGTTTGTTTGTTTCCTTCCGAACCCGTCCAGCCACCGTGTTCGGCGAGCTGTGGCGGCTGGAGCCGCTGGCGTCGGCGAGGAAGGCCATGTGGACGCGCGAGATGGACTGGCTGCTCTCCGTCGCCGACTCCATCGTCGAGCTCATCCCCTCGCTCCAGGAGCTCCCCGACGGCGGCGGCCAGTTCGAGGTCATGGTGCCGCGCCCCCGCAGCGACCTCTACATGAACCTCCCCGCGCTCAGGAAGCTCGACGCCATGCTCCTCGCCATGATCGACGAGTTCAAGGAGACGGACTTCTGGTACGTCGACAGGGGCATCGTCGTCGACGACGGCGGCGGGGGGCCCTGCCCGTCCTCCTCGTCTTCCTCCTGCGGGCGCCCGTCGTCGGTGCGGCAGGAGGAGAAGTGGTGGCTGCCCTGCCCGCGGGTGCCGCCCAAGGGGCTGCCCGAGGAGGCCCGGAGGAAGCTGCAGCAGAGCAGGGACTGCGCCAATCAGATTCTGAAGGCGGCCATGGCGATCAACAGCGACGTGCTTGCTGAGATGGAGATCCCGGAGGCGTACCTGGAGTCCTTGCCAAAGGTAAACACTTCAAAATTCAGTATCATTCAGTGGTACTACTAACTGTCACTGAGTTGCTATGCAAACTTAAGTTGCTGATAAGAGTGTACCAAATGCATGAAGTACTTGTTTTGGGTCATGGATATTTCTATCAATTGTTGGTCGAATCGCCAAAAAATTATACAGTATATTTCTGTGAATAGGTTTATCCATTATAATGTCTTGTTTCTTTCTGCAGAGTGGCCGATCTTGCTTGGGTGAGATAATTTACCGGTACATAACGGCTGAACAATTCTCACCTGAATGCCTCCTGGACTGCTTGGACCTGTCATCGGAGCACCATACACTTGAAGTAGCAAACAGAATAGAGGCTGCCATCCATGTCTGGAGACTAAAGGGCCAAAAGAAAACGGCGCCTCAGGCAAAGTCAAAGAAATCTTGGGGTGGAAAAGTGAAGGGTCTTGTTGGAGATACGAAGAGCCAAGTGCTGTCCCAGAGAGCCGACGGTCTGCTACAGAGCTTAAGATTGCGACACCCTGGCTTGCCACAGACTTCCCTTGACATGAACAAGATCCAGTATAACAAGGTTAACAATTCTTCACACCCTACTCAGTTTGAAAACTATGGCCTTGAAAGTGATTGCTTGCATTCTTATCTGTCCATTCAAAACTGATTCTAGCTAGACCTGGAGCTTACAATTATCATCAGAAACCTGCTCTGTTAACATCACTGAACTTTCTACATGACTTGCTTAAAAAAGGTTTCACCCTGTTCCTGCCTTGTCTTGCCCAGGATGTCGGCCAGTCCATACTTGAAAGTTACTCGAGGGTTCTGGAGAGCTTGGCGTTCAACACAATTGCGAGGATTGACGACGTGATCTACGTGGACGACGCCACGAAGAAGTCTGCCGCGGCGGAGACCGTTTCGATCTTCAACCGCGGCACGGGCGCACCAGTCCAGAAGAAGATCTCCCCAAGCCCATTCTCGATCCAGCACACGCCATACGCCTCCCCCTTCGCCACACCCACCTTCTGCTCCTCCACCCCAGTCAATGGCAACAGCCCCGGAAGAGCACCGCAGCCTCCACCGAGCAAAAAGAACCCGCCAGCGAAACCCGAGATCAAAGTCGAGAAGCTCTTCTCCGGTGATGTAGAGAAGGTGTGGACCTATGCCGGAAACCTGAGCGCGCGGAAAGAAGCCGGAGACGCTCCTGAAAGGGACTGAGTTTTTGGCGTGCGCCTCCTCGGCAAGGTCGACAGACAGGTATCAATCTTCATTCGACAGATACTGATCCGGTCGGTAGGGCTAGAGCTTCCCTGTACAGAAGCAACATCAGTCATTCTTTTTGTGCTTTCTTAGCGCGATCGATCCGCAGACCGTGTACTTTTTACCCCCTCCCTGCTCACCTAGTGATGGAGTAAGTGAACTCTTGATGGCGTCTAGTTTCTCTGTCAGTCAGCTGTGTGTACCACCCCTTGTTCATGTCTATACTAGCTTAGCTAGCAGGTCGGGTTGGGCAGCAGCCGAGTGAACTTGAGATGTGGTTGCTGCTGCTGCTGTAGGTTTTTTGTGTCCCTGATCCTGAAGCCACCGGTGGTGCTGTGACAGTTAACTGCAGCTGCAGTGGGATGTTTGTTGTACTGTACTCCGGTGGCCGTGCATTCTGATGTCTGACAATTGTCTGTACTTACATGCTCCTTGATGAATTGATCTGACGCTAGTTTCTTCATATCTTTGCCTACTGGTACTGTTATTAACTGTGATTTGATCTGATCGCAGCCGTTGAACTGATCAACGGTCACTTCATTCATCTCTGGAATGAGTACGCAGTGACAGTGGCACTGCTCGTTCATTGGTGCCGTTGTATGCAAATTGGTTACAGTTATTGTGGGTGCGTTTGGTTAGTTTCTCAGCGGAGCCTGTCCTCGTGGAGCCTGGTTCAGTATGCATGTAGTTTGGTTGCCCGCATTAAGCCCAACTCGTATGCTTTTCATAGTGTAAATTGCACTAAGCCTAGCTTGCATCTTGAAAAATGGCCAATTCGAGCGCTCGCAGCCAAGTTGGGGGCACTTTAAGTTTCGTACGAAATAAGGCCCGACTCCACCTCCTTGAAATCAGGGGGGAGATGATTAGATTAGAAAGAAAAAAAGGAAAAAAAGACATCCGTAGGATGAAGTGGGAGCATAAAGAGGGAGCACGCAAGCCGGATTCGTGCGAATCAGGCAACCAAACAACATGCTACTTAGCCCGCCAGAATCTGGTTGGCCACTTGGCCTTAATGCAGGCTACCTTTGTTACTGAACCACACGGCAAAGCCATCGAAACCTCAGGTGAAAAAAGTGGTATACTTGCACCGCAAATATACCAAGCGTGGCCTTCCTCTCCTCCCTCTCGTCTGATCATACGCCTTGCCTTGGAGGCATGCAGCATCTTGCATTGCATGGACGGTGACTTGTCCCTGCACCGCAAGTCTCCTGCCTGTTGATCTTGCAACCGGAATGCAACTTGCTTCCTCTGTCCAGCTCGTATAAGTAGGGGCAGTGCGAGGCCATGGTCCTCCAAGCTTTTGCGAGTTGCTTCTTTCTCCTGTCCGCGTAGTTCGACGGCAGCGAGTTGCCGGAGACAGACAGAGAGAAGCAGCGGTTCACCCCGTTGACTGGCATGGCGACGGCGGCCAAGGATGCGGCGTCCGCGGCGGAGAAGAAGGGGGCGGCGGTGGCGGTGACGCAGATGAAGCTGCTGGTGGACAGGCGGTCGCGGCGGGTGCTGTACGCGGAGGCGCGCAAGGACGCCGTCGACTTCCTCGTCGGCCTCCTCCGCGTGCCCGCGGGCCTCGCCGCGCGCGTCATCGCCAAGCACGCCGCTGGCGCTGCAGATGGCGCCGGCGACGTTCACGCCGACGAAGCGCACGCCGCGCCGGGCTCCCTGGGCACGCTCTACGCCGGGGCCAAGGCACTGGGCGACGAGTTCTTCGTCGCCGCCGCGCCCGACCGCGACGCGGTCCTCTGCCCGGCGATCCCCTCGGCCGCGCTCGCGCTGCTGCTCGAGGGCGAGCCGGCTGCGGCGGCGGCCGCCACCCCGCCGCCCGCCACGCCCGCCCCGCCGAAGCGGTACTTCCGGTGCGCGGGCCCGTACGGGACGTCGTGCCGCGGGAACCCGACGTGCGTGACGGACGTGGCCGGCCTGCCGTGCCCGGTGTGCCGGCAGCCGATGACGGTGGAGATGCGGTGGAGCCCCGGGGACGCGCACGGCAAGCTGGCGCAGGCGGCGGCCCAGGAGGCGGCGGCGGCGTCTGCAGGAGCAGGAGGGTACGTGAAGGAGGTGGTGAGCTACCTGGTGATGGACGACCTCACGGTGGAGCCCATGTCCACCATCTCCGCCATCATGCTGCTCAAGAAGTTCAAGGTCGCCGACTGCTCCGCCCTGGAGGAGCTCACCGTCGATCTCGGCCACAAGGAGGCCGTGCTTCTGCTCAAGGCCGCGCTCGAGTCCAAGACGGCGCTCACCGACGTCTTCTGCGGCGGCGTCTCCATTGACAGGCTCGAGTGAGAGCAAACGAGCGAGGGGCCGAGCACCATGAAAGCGCAACTGAGAGGCCGAGGAGATGGTATAATACATAACCATACATACCGAATTGTACATGAAGCATGTTTAAACGTAGCACACGTATCAATCTTATGCTAATATTGTACTGTAAATAAAAAAAGCTTCATCTCTGAATACAAGCACATGCACAGCGAGCGAGTGCTTTTGTGGAAATTTGACTGCGTCAGCAGATGGCCTCAAAAGACTAACCAAAAGTTCTGGATGTTTCTAGAATTTGTTATTTGTTGTTATTTTTCATTTGCTTCTCCCGCGATGGGCACGTGGGCCCTTTAGAATTGTTTTTTCGAATGTTCACCGGAGGGGAGTTTTCCCCATATGAATTGTATTCATTTTTGCCTATAGACTTTACAGCCTAACACAAGGGTTCAAGTGAACCAGAAAAATAGGGGGCACACAAGGAAGAGATAAAGCGAAAAATACATACCGATAACACATGACGATGGGGGACACAACACAACAAAGGGCACCCCGGCCCCCGGGCCCTTTAGAATTTGATATTAAGGACTTGACTTTTTAGGATCCAATATCACTTGAGTCTTAGGTATTGCCCATGTTATCAAAAGGGGCCTTTGAACCTAGGGAGGAGATCTTTTCTCAAGTGCTCAGACTCAAATCTTCAAAATTTCATATGAACCCAGGGAGGAATAATCAACCTGAAGTACGAAACATCTCAACGTGTCTCAACAGCTCCTAGGGGGAATGAAACGTCATTGAATTTACATAGTTTCAAAGATATATATATATATATATCAACATAGGACAAGGTCCAATTTATTAGAGAGAGGACGGGAATGCTATGACGTTTCATTCCACTGTCTATCTGACATGCTTTCAAATGATCAGATCTATCCGAGTCATGCTCATGGTACACTAGTAAAAAAGGGGGCTTTGGTCCAAACCGGGTAAGCCCATTAGTCCCGATTCAGTCCAGAACCGGGATCAATGGATGCATTTATCCCGGTTCGTGCGGCTAAGGCATTAGTCCTGGTTCACCTGGGCCCTTTAGTCCCGGTTGGTGGCACCAACCGGTACTAAAGGTTAGACCTTTAGTCCCGGTTGGTGCCACCAACCGGGACTAATGGGCTTTGAGGCATTAGTACCGGTTCATGGCACGAACCGGTACTAAAGGTCCCATTTTCAAACTCTCTCCCCCCCTGTGGACCGCCTTTTCAGTTTTAGAAAAAACAAAAGAAAATGATGGAAATGTCAATAAAATAAAATAAAATAAGTTTCCCATGTGATATGTGGTCTAGTTGTTGGGAAAATTTACAAATATGAATTTCGACTTTATTTACAAAATCTCTCTGGAATTTGTAAAATGGGCATAACTTTTGCATACGAACTCGGATTAAAAAGTTTTTTATATAAAAAATCATCTACTCGAAAAGTTACATCCGATGGAGACCGCCTACGGCTTGTTTGCAAATTTGTAGAATCCTCAAATTCCAAAAGGAAAAAAAGTTATGCTCAAATTTCAGTTTTTTTTAAATTTTCATTAAATCTGGTAAAACTATGGTCAAACTACTTATTCAAGAAGTATTAGTGTTACTAAATAATTATTCAAGAATATTAGTGTTATTAAATAATTATTTCAGTTTTTTTGAATTTTGGTCAAATCTGGTCAAACTATGGTCAAACTGTGGTCAAACTACTTATTCAAGAAATATTAGTGTTACTAAAAAATTATTGTTTTTTAGAACAATAGTTTCAATATTCAAGAAATATTAGTGTTACTAAAAAAATATTGTTTTTTTAGAACAATAGTTTCAAAATCAAACAGTGAAATGTGTGACTTCATGCTCAAGCTAAACTCCTGAGGGTTAATAGGATTGACATCTTACTATTGTCAGGAAAACAACGAGTGCAGACTTGGAAACGAGGGAGAATAGAACCCGGAAGTTAAGCGTGCTCAGGCTGGGGGAGTGGGAGGATGGGTGACCGTCCGGGAAGTTAGATGATTTGGAATGATGAAGGGTGATTAGAGATTAAATTGAGCAGGGATGATTAGAGATTAGAGGTTAAAATAAAAAAAATTTCAAAAAAAATCAGAAAATTTCTTTTAGTACCGGTTGGTGTTACAGTCCCGATTCAAACCAGAACCGGGACTAAAGGCCCTTTTTCTACTAGTGGTAATGCGTTCATAGGCGAAAGAAATTCATACAGACTCCACAAGAAAGCTATATATACAGTGGCATCGAAACCAAGCATCATCACCATACATTTAGCTAATGTGTGTTTTTCTATGATCTCTGGAAAAAGTTCGAAGTCCAGAATATTTTTCGTTGCACATGTCATTTTGGTTGACTACTTATTGCACAACCTCAACTTCATTTGTTCTGTCCAACTACTTAATAGTACATCTTTTCCAGTTACATATACAGATATCGTTTTTCAATTTGGACTTGAACCTGCAATTGCAGCAGATACATCTTTTTTCACAACCCTAGAGGGTAAAAACTACTTCCTACGCCAAATGTACTCATATATTGGTTGTAATAGCATCTTCACCCGCCAAAAAAAGGTTGTAACAACATCCTATATTATGGGATGGATGAAGTACCAGTTTGCATGTTTCCGAGATCTGCTTCATATAAATAGAGTTGAGTTAAATTTGGC